CAGCCGTCCTACCCCGTCCAGTCCCCCGCCAACCCCGCCGTGTACCCACAGACTCTGCCCCTTCCGCAGCCGCCGCCCTACACAGACGCGCCTCCTGCTTATTCCGAGGTAGGCGGGACGTTTCTCCGAAGACTTTATGTCCTTCTGGGGCCCCTCCCATAGGAAAAAAAAACCCAAACAACTCCGAATAAGTTTATAGCCGCAATATTTTTTTTTTTGCCTGGAGGGCTTGTTTGCTGCTCGTATCGCTGGGCAGCGGTCGGTCCCCGGATTCTCTTTTATGAGACCGGAATCATCCACTCAAAGTGACAAACGTTGAAAGCTTCCCCTTGAGTTAAGATGACAAACTGAGCTCACCTGTAGCTGTGAAACACGTCTACGATGATCTCTCTCAGTTGGATTCTTGCGGGCGGTGGGGGAAAACAGTCTCCAACAGTGGGAAAAATGTCCGTTTACCGTACCCCAAAGTAAACGCTCAGGGAAGGGGATGCCCTTGTGCAAGCAGGAGGGTGAAAGTCTGCGTTGGGGCTGGTGCTTCGACAGCAAGGCTGAATAAACAGCTGGGCGTGGGGAATTACAGGTGTCTCAACTTGTTCGCGCGGCTTTTTTTCCCAGCTTTACCGTCCCAGCTTCGTGCCTCTGGGGGCTGCCACCGTACCTACAATGTCTGCGGCGTATCCGGGCGCTTCCGTCTTCCTGCCTGTGGCCCAGTCTGTGGCCGTGGGTCCGATCGGCTCGTCGGTCCCGATGGCGTATTACCCCGTGGGACCGGTTTATCCTCCGGGCTCGACAGTCCTTGTTGAAGGTGGCTTTGATGCTGGAGCAAGGTTTGGGGCTGGTGGAACAGCCAGCATCCCTGTAAGTACAAATGTATTCTCAAATCCCTGCGTGCTTCAGCATTAGAGGTTCGCAGATGGTAGTGGGGGAGAAGATATCCTTTGTTTTCTGAGAAAAACATATTTCTTAGCCGATCGATCATTTGGGAGAAGAGTAGGCTCCTACTTTGCATGCTGAGGGTTTGCGCTCTCTAGCCAGCCTGTGGCTCTGGAGCCACGTAGGTTCACAGGTGGTTCTGGCTCACAGCAAAACCATTGCGTGGCCAGCGCTAGCCCCAGTTTGGCCTGGGGGCCACGGTGTAATGCGCTTTGCGGGGAGGCAAGCCAGTAGGGCTTCTTGGCGACCTGTCTTTCCCTGGCCCCAAACGCAGAGTTGGCCTCTTTCCGTGCTGCGGCGGAGCTGTGGGAGGTTCCTGCTCCCCTGGACTTTCCACCCGTGGCTCACGGCCGTGTGAAGGTCTTGTTCCACAGCTCACAGGCTCCTCTGCGTGGGCAAAAAGCCATGAAAAAGTATGGGCTGTGGGCTCTGAAAAGAGAGGGCAGGGCACACAACCGAGCGTTTCCCATCGGCTCCTGGACTCTGTTGCTCAGTCTTTGCTCGGTAGCAAGCGACAGGGACGTCGACTGGGAGGTTTGCGGGTCCCTGCAGCCCACGGTGGCTTTGTGCCAGCTCCCGTCGTGGCACTGACCTCGGCTATCCTCCCCCCTCTCCTTTTCTGTCTTCCAGCCCCCCCCTCCTGGCTGTCCCCCCAATGCCGCCCAGCTGGCCGTAATGCAGGGAGCCAACGTCTTGGTGACGCAACGGAAGGGAAACTTCTTCCTGGGAGGCTCAGACGGCGGCTACACTATCTGGTGAAGAAGGAAGGGGAAGGGGGGAGAGGGGGGGGCTACATTTGTGTAAGGAAAGACATCACATACTGTCAGCACTTCTCACGATGTAACTGCTTTAGTCCATATTAACCTGAAGTTGCAGATTAGACACACAGCGGTGAGGTGTCTTCCTGGTTTGGTGCCCGGCCCTGCAGGCACTTTCAACGAGAAACCCTGTTAACGATAGCGGTGCCTCTGTTCAGACGGGGAGGGGGGGATTAATTCACGAAATGAATGTGAGCTCAGCAGCCCTGCCTCTTCCTTTCATTTCACTGGAGTAATACCGCAGCGCTGAGCTTTTATTAATCGGCTACCTATACACTGGCTTTGGGGAGGGCGAGGGAGCGGATCCAGTTTCGCCTTCCCTTCGCGGTCGTGCCGGTCCACTGGACCCCGAGTCACAAACCACCCGGGTTTCCCCAGCGAAGGTGCTGGGTAGAAAGCGAGGGCAAACTTCACTTCCCGGTAGCGGGGAGGGCACCTTGGCGCTTCTTTCTTCCTGACCTCACTCTAGAACGGATCCCTCGAAGCACTCTGTGCTCACATTCGCCCGTCGTTTTCCTCCAGGAAGGTATGCAGCTGGCGTGTATCATGGGATTTTTTTTATACACTCCAAGTAATCTTGGATTTCTTTGCACATTAGGTCTAATCAAAGCCATGCTTTGGTGCCAGAAACACAATGCAACTCATGTTTGAACATTTCATTCGATGCTAACTAGGCTTTTAGAATGATGCTTAATAAACAAACGTCTTTTTTTTTTTTTAAACTCAACCTGGTGTCTTGACACCAAAACTCCTTAAGGCTGTTGTTCAGAGAGGCTGGTTACCATCTGTACAAGGGTGTGTAGCAACTGTCAATCAACACACAAATTAGCTTGGTTAATGGGTTGTTTTATGAATGCATACTTTAAAAATGACTTGGGTATAATGAAGTCTTATTAGGGTTAAGAAGAATATTTCAGGGATCCTCAAATGTTTTGGGTTTTTTTTTGTTTTGTTTTGTTTTATGAAGAAAAATATCAGATTCAAATATATTTTATCTTGAGGTTTCAGTTTAATCTAAATCTGTGTCTTGTATATGTTGTGTTTAACCATACAACTGACTGTTATGAAAGTTCAGCATTACGTCTCTCTCTGTATACACTGTGGTGCACTTAACTTGTGGATTTTTTTATACTAAAAAAAAAGTAGAATAAAGACTATTTTGAAAATTTGAATAAAGTAGCAAATTTGCATTAGACCTCAAATAAAACCCCTTGGTTCCTGCCCATTGCAAGCCTTAGGGTTTCTTCACTTATTTCCTCTTTGCTGCTATTTGGTGAACTTCCTCCTTTGGGGTTTGAATTTTTTTTTTTTTCCTTTCGGGTTTGATTTAAAGGAGGAACTGCCCTTGAGAAGGGAGCAGAGGAGCGGTGGCTGGAGCTGCTCCTCGCCCTGTCCTTGTGCACAGCAAAAGCAGGGGAAAACTAGTGTCTGCCTGCCTGAGCCTACGCGCCAGTGCTACAGCCGGCTCTGCAGCCGAAGCAAACCTGCTCCACTTCTCATTTCCCCAAGCCCTCCGAGGTCGGGCGCCTCTCGGGGCAGGGCCGAGCTTCCCCAGGCTTGCGGGCTGCGTTGGGGCTTTCTGTAACTTGCACGATCCATCAGCCTGTTTTACATGCACGCTTAACCTCAGCCTCCGAATTTGCCATGCTAATTACCCCACCCCTACATCATGAGCAGAATAACTTAAGTGTTTTGTGAGATAAGGAAAAAGAAAACGACAGCAACTCTTCAAGCGTTTGTCACTGGGCTGTATTAGAAAGCACTGAAGGGAGGAGATGGGGTGGGTGCGGGCAGCCGGAGCGCGGCTGTGCCTGCTCTCTGCCGCCGAGCTGGAGTACTCCCTGCCCTTGGTCTGCTCCAGGCAGCGACGGGCAAAGCTCTGACACGCACCTATTTATTTTTCCTTCCATGGCTGGCTTAATAAATTAAGGAAAAAAAAAAAAAACCCACAAAACCACCAGCTTGTAGTTCCCCAACTCCAGGGAATTTAGGCAACTTGGACCTGAGTGCATCCAAGAGGTGTGCGCTGGACCCGGTGGCCTAGATAAAATACTCTTCCTTCTCCTTGGATGGAGCATCCTCCATCTGCACTGACACGTCGGTCTCTGCCGCCGGCTGCTCGTAGGTGAGGTAGCTGCCTTTGTTTCTGTACAGGTAGATGATGATCACCACCAGGACTGTCAGCAGGGTGAGGAACACCAGGGTGATGACAACTACGGGGAGAAGGCAGAGAAAGGAGCGGGGTTTAGCCCCGAGCGGTCGGTACCGAAATGCTAAATGGGGTGGATCCGGCAAGGAGAGCCCCTACCTGCGATGACCACGGTGTTGGCATCCTCATGGAGAGGTGGGGTGTGAGCCTTCTTCAGGAAGGGGGTTGTCAGCTCTTCTTCATCAAACCAGGAGAGAGGGGGAGAGGAGAAGGTGAGCAAGGCTGGTCCCGACCTGGCTGAGCCGGGCTTGGCTGGACGGGGCACGCGCTGGCCCCGTGCAAGTTCTTGCCAAGGACTATGCAGCACGAACA